CAACAAGGTAGCGAAGCGTAGAGCCAGCTCGGTAGTGTGATTGCAGAGACTCATTAGGATCTGCTTGAGGTCCATCACACACAGCGTTTGAGGTACTGGAACGATTCCTATGTGTTTTGCGATCGTAGTAGGATACGCACCTGCAACCACGGCCAGAGGCAGGAGGATTTTGGCAGGTTTGCACCAATTTGACCAGGGGCTGCCTGACTTGAGGTGGGTACTAGCACACCATTGAGCACCCGGAGGTGCCCTACCCCCGTCAGAGACAATGCGTGGCGCTAGTGCTCTATGCCAATCGAGTTGTGTGCTTATAACCCGTGAACTTTTTGTCTCCCATGGCTAGGTTTTAAGGGAAGAGGGCCATCTACCACTTCCTAATCTATGAAGAGGATGGGGTTGGTACTAGGATACTGACAGGGCGCCCACACCTGACAAGAGGACGACTCGGGTCCTCAGCCAAAGCTTTCGATTAAATGTACACCCAAAAAGCAGCGGGTCTTTTACATGGTCGTTTCACTGACTCATGCGGTTTGGTGTGCTGGTTCTTAGCTAGAAGAACGGCATGATCCAATTCCCACCCAGCGGTCGCCACGGAAAGACGTTCATAACATGAGTCACGGCATAACAGTAGCAGCAGTGGGTAGACCATCTGTCAGGATCCCGCCACTAAAAGCTTCAGCGCGCCATAGGCTTTCCAACCACTTCCAGGTATGGTTGGCCGCATCCGGTTCCGAAGTTACCTGTGATTGTGGCCTCCATGGGTACAGCCACAGGACGTCTGCGCCTACAGGGGGACTAGCTAGGTATGGTTGGCGACATCCGATACCGGATTTGCCTGTCACTATGGAGAGCTACAGGACGCCTGCGAAAACAGAGAGACCATGGATGGCTTGAGCTGCACTACCCACAGCTCCAACCACCCATCTCATATCCCGTGTAAACTAGAAGGAATAAGACCGGGTGCCACTTTTTGGCAACAGAGCCGGCCCACACTTCTTCATAGGCAAATACAAGCATGCTGTATTTGGGGAATCAAGCGCACACAAGGCGGTGGCTGGACCGTAGTCCGCTCCACACTGAGTGCATGGAACCGCTCTTCGAGCCCAGTACGGCCACAAGGACCGTGCACCTCGTCCTTTCAGCAAAGATCAATTGTCTCCTGGAGGCAGTATGGACGAGGTGGTGGGTAATAGACAGGTAGGCACCTTGTCAACATGCACATCAAGCGCAGCCACACCGGGGATATCAAGCAACAGCCAGTCACTTGAAACGATGATATCAAATAAAATAAATCGAATAATGCATGCAGATACGGTGACATAATTCTTCAATAAATCAGCATAGAAAATAACTCGGCTCCGGACAAATCCACGAAATATTCAAGGGACAGAAAATATATTTTAAGAAAATGTCACAAATGCGGAATGTGATTGAAGTTAAGCAACGTAGTTTAAGGTACGTGCGCAAGTTTATAGAAGAAATTAGTGAGAAATTAATGAGATAACAAACCATTAGGACAATATAGTATACCCACCATCTATCTTAAAGAGGACAAGCATGCAAGCACGCGGTTAGTAAATCGAAGGCAGTGTACCTACAAACGCTTGGTCGGTTTTGCCTACGCTCTCAGCCGTACTCTTCGTCGTTTCGGTGTTGGCCCCGAGTGGCTTCGCTCGTGGCTCACTAGGCCTGCCTGACTCAGGCACTCGTGACCGCATGTGATAAGGCACCATGCGCTAGATGTGGATGGAGTACAACCCATCGCCGCCTGTTTTTTCCGCAAATGCATTTCTTCTCCGCATGCACTAGGGATTTCTCTTGCAGCTCGGCAACGGCCTTCGTGAGCAGATCGCGCCATGCATGCCGATCAAGCGCTTTCGATTCCCATGACCCGCAATCAAGATTAGAACATGAGAGGCTCAGTTTGGTTATGTCCTGGTATGGTTGGCTGCATCCGGTTTCGGATTTGCCTGTCACTGTGGCCAGCCATAGGACACCTGCGCCTACAGAGGGACCATGGATGGCTTGCGCTGCACCACCCACAGCTCCAACCACACACACCACATATCCAGTGTAAACCCGAAGAAATAAGACCGGGAGGCATGCGGATGGGAACCACGTTTCATCAACGGAGCCGGCCCACACTCCTTCACAGGCAAACACAAGCACGCTGTAGTTGGGGAATCAAGCGCACACAAGGCGGTGGCTGGACCGTAGTCCGCTCCACACTGAGTGCATGGAACCGCTCTTTGAGCCTAGCACGGCCACAAGAACCGTGCACCCTGTCCCCTCCAGCAACGACCAACTGTCTCCTGGAGCCAGTATGAACGATGTAGTGGGTAATAGACAGGTAGGCATCTTGTCAAAATACACATCAAGCGCAACCATACCAGGGATATCAAACAACAGCCATTCAATTTAAACGACAAGCTGAAATAAAATAAATCCAATAATGCATACAGATACGGTGGCATAACTCTTCGCCAAATTACCATATGAAGTAAGCTGGTCAGCAACAAATCCGTGATAAGTAAGAAATGTCCACAAGTTACTTAAAATGCTACAAACGCAACAAAATTACCGAAGATAAGCGCAATTAGTGTAAGCAACGTGGCAAGTTAATAGAACATTATTCAGGGAGGCAGAACAAACCAAATAAAGCGGAATGAAATTTATCCAGCTTAAAAAGACCTAGTTTAAGTGTAAGTTGGTTTAGCCCAACTGCGGTGAAGAAGCATCAAGAATGCAACATCAGCCTCAGCATGGGGCACACATACATACATGATTGGCGGCATCTGGTTTCGGATTTGCCTGTCACTGTGGCAAGCCACAGGACACCTGCGCTTACAGAGGGACTATGGATGGCTTGCGCTGCACCACCCACAGCTCCAACCACACACACCACATATCCAGTGTAAACCCGAAGTAATAAGACCGGTAGGTATGTGGATGGGAGGCATGTTTCATCAACGGAGCCGGCCCACACTCCTTCACAGGCAAGCACAAGCATGCTGTATTTGGGGAATCAAGCACATACAAGGCGTGGCTGGACCGTAGTCCGCTCCACACTGAGTGCATGGAACCGCTCTTCGAGCCTAACACGGCCACAAGGACCGTGTACCTCGTCCTTTCAGCAAAGATCAATTGTCTCTTGGAGGCAGTATGGACGAGGTGGTGGGTAATAGACAGGTAGGCACCTTGTCAACATGCACATCAAGCGCAGCCACACCGGGGATATCAAGCAACAGCCATTCAGTTGAAACGACAGCATGAAATAAAATAAATCCAATAACGCATACAGATACGGTGGCATAACTCCGCTGCATTAGCATATGAAGTAAGTTGGTTAGCAACATATCGGCGATAAGTAAAAAATTTCCGCAAGTTACTTAAAAATGCTACAAACACAACAAAGTTACCGAAGATAAGCGCAATTAGTGTAAGCAACATGGCCAGTTCATGGAAGATTATTCAGGTAGGCAGAGCAAACCAAGTAAATTGGAATAAAATTCATCCAGCTTAAAAAGACTTAGTTTAAGTGTAAGTTGGTTTAGCCCAAATGCGATGAAGAAGCATCAAGAATGCAACATCAGCCTCAGCATAGGGCACTTGTCCTGGTATACACATGTACAAACTAACGTTGTCAGACATGACAAATGAATAAATGTAACTGACCAGTCAAAAAAGATATTACACGGAGCCTTGTGTGTGGGTAGCACACACAGTGATAGTCTCGTACTGTGAGTGCTTAATGTTACTCGAGCGAAAGCGCTTTCAAACCTGATCTCCACCCACTTAGACATCCCAAGAACGGGAGATCACTAACAATACGAGGTAACTGCCATGAGGCATGCACAGGCCTGTCAAGGTAACAAACATGAGCTGTGTCAATCGCTAAGACGGTGCAACTAAGTAGAAATTTGAAACAGTCAAGTGAACCGATAATACAAATGATGATACCAGTTGTAGGAAGAGTGAACTTGTTCATATCAAGCTGAAACGAGATAAACGTGTGGGCAATTGAACACAGCGACACAAATTATTAAAGCGCGCATGAATAAAAAAACGGAGTTGGCACCGGGTCGCAGAATCAGAATTAAGATCCGAGCACACGAGATTATGTTAGATAAAAGAGAAAGGTTGGGTAGTAGGTAGTGCGAATCACAACGACGCGACGACGAAGGTCTCACTGCATGAAGCATACGCAATTCTTCTACTCCAGCCTATTCATAAAAATAGTTGCGAGTCACCAATGTGATACAGGTGGTGGCTCATGCTGACGTTTGCACTGTATACGCTCCTCCGTGGAATTCCGTCACTAACAACTGTCAAAAATGCATTATGAAGCGGAGTTTTTTCTACGAAGGCGTTTGCGGCAATCACAACTGCTGCTGCTATTACTGTCAATCCAAAGTGAAACCGTCACCTCGTTTGGTGACGAACCGTGTACGCTCGAATTGCTTAGCTCGGTGAACAAACCAACGTCTCTGCGCACAACCGAACAGCCAATATCTCGACTCGTTGAAAATGTTACCACTGTAGGTTGATGACCGCACGCTGTGCCTCAAATACTTGCTGGGTTTCAACCAGCGCGTTATTCCGCCATTACTGTTGTCATCTGTACACTAGTATTTTAGCCAACTGTTAGATTGCAGACCTCACATCAGCCCTATGTCAGTGCGTCGTATGTAAGCCCCACTTCAGGTTTCACACTGATTGTACAGTGTGACCATAGGCTTCCTTGGCGGATCGTTCAAGTTTTATGAGTTCGACTTCCAGCATATCGTTTCATGTGTCTCGCAGTCTCCACCTGTAAGTTATTTTCGTTTTGACGCATCTGTTAATTCAACCCCTAGCACACATTGCGAACTCTCCTCCCTTTCTCCGCACTGCGTTGTTCCCATCCTGGTACACTAATGTTGCGTCCTTTTGCAATTTTCATTGTTTAACACTGACCAATCCGCAGCGATAATTCGCTTCTTCATCTTCCAATCCCATAGCTGATGGATGTGTACATGGAGGCTTATGGGCACATTGTGTGTCGTGACAGTCGCCGTCGTCTTGCCCAGGTCATGACAGACCTGATCCACCAGCGCCCTCGGCTGGACTTGAACGAGAATTACTTCGTTCTAGCCTACCGGTTCGAATGTGCTTCACTGCGTCAGCGAACCGAAATAATGCGATGTGCGTTAAACCGACAGGTCAGTTTGACATTCATTTATCTCTTAACTTGGCCAATCATTAATTCATTTTCCCGACATTTGATCGTCATTAATTTCTGTAACGCTGCAGCCATCCTCCTGTGAGAAGGAACCAGCTGGACCTACTCTGTGTAGCACCCAGTCCGGTACTTCCTCCAACATTATCTGTAGGAAGCCGTCTATAGCAAGCCAGCCTACTTAACAAGCTGTCGTCTCCGGTCACTCATGAAGGGTGAATATTTAGCTGTAACCCCACCATGGACATGAATAAATAATGAACCAGACATACAATAGAGGGGCGGGGGCGAACATCAGTATTTTATATGCAAGCTTGTTACAGAAGATAACATGGACGGCTATGATGATGTTAACAAGTTCCAGCCTTGAGATATCACTACACCGGGATAGATGCGTCAATGATCTGGCAATTACTTTGAGTTCCTTACTAAGGAGACCAGGAAAGATCACGGGAGAGCAGTTGGTACAGTATGGCAACACACCTGCAGTGACAAGACGCTGGATCAAAAACGGGTACGGTAAAATACCTGAGAAGTAGAGGGTAATGAATGGCACCCTGTCTGCTGCATCGAGCAAGGTGGATAGGTGTTCGGATGCTACTGCTCAAGCCTACCCATCTTTCTTTTCCCTTCTTTCGTTTTTTCACGCTTATCGTCCCGTGCCAACCACTATTATTCCTCACCCCGTTTTAAACCCCCTGATGCTTGACCATGCTTTGATAGCCGTTTACCTCCTAGTTTCAATTCACAGACAAACGCGGAGCGTCATTTTTGCCCTACCGACATGCCCAAGCGGTCAAGCCCGGTTCCTCGGCTTCCATTTGGAACGCTCGATCCCCCCTCAGATTGGCATACGTCAATTTGCGCACGTTGTCACAGATCGGTCAACAGGCATCACTTGTCCGTACATTAGAGATCCTCTCGATCGATACCTGCTGCCTATCGAAAACCCGCATACAAGACTGGAGCTCTGTGGTCCCATTCAGAAGACACTAACAATGCTTTCTCACTGCACCCATCCGGAGACGATGCAGGTTCTAGTACCGGCCAAGTCGATGTTGATATTGCCCTGGGTACCCGGGTTGAAGCTACTCAGTGGTCGAATATGTGCGGTCCGACTGGTTGGCTCGTTCAAAGTCCGGAAGTCGCGCAGAACTAATAGCTGTCTATTCGCAATCACTGCCTAAGCGTCCACAAACCGTAGCGATGATTCGGTAAAAGATAAGTTCTATCGCCAACCGAACGAGATCCTTCGCCACAGATAAAGCAGGTACACTGTGCTGCTGGCTGGGGATCTGAAGGCACAAGTTTGAAAATTTCCACTGATGAAATGCATCTGGGCAAGCCAACATGGTGTAGGCTCCTGTAATGATAACGGTGAGCGGTTGCTTCATTTGTGTGAAGACGCCCGCTTATTTATTGTGAGCACTAACTTCCGACACAGCACCCGTCGGAAGGTGACATGGCGCCCACCAGCATCAGACCAGCCTTGGACGCAAATCGATCACATTGCGATCAGTTACCGCTGGAGAGGCTGCGTCCGGAACCGTCACTCTATTTGGAGCACATGTGTGGCCACTGACCACGCACTTGTATGCGCTGCTCTGCGGGTGCGTTCTGCCGGACGCCCGCGACGACGCTGTGAGCACATAAACACCAGCTAACCGGCGAAGCAAGGTGCTCTGAATGTGTATTGAATTGCCCTGGCGTCCGGATTGAGTAAGCACTCACTGAACACGGCTGAAGGTCAATGGTTGCATGCTTACCAAACCCAACTAGCAGCGGATAAATTTTCAAGTGGTAAGTCTAATAGTCAACATACAGATTGGGTATCTTCGCAGTCTCTGGAACTTATGGATGCTCGCCGGCACATTCCGGCTGGAAGAGAACATAGCGAGACTCACAAAGAGCTCAGGCCAAAACTGGGCACTAGCCTTAGGAGAGACCGCGAATCCTGGTGGCCTCATAATACGTCAGAGATGGAAGTGACCGCTGCCATTGGTAACCATCGTAAGTTATTCCGTCTGATACTGGAAACGGGCAGCAGGAGACGTGGTGTTAGTGAAACTATATGTGACGACAGTGGACAGCCTATCCACAACTTGTCAAAACCTTTGGACCGTTGGGCTGAACAGTTTGAAATGCCACTTACTCGACCGAGACTGTTAGAGTTGTTACCCGCCAGTGATCGCCCTGCCCCATAAGCTGCCCCTTTGAATCCGCCTTCTCGCTCATAAGTAGAACGTGAGATTGGACTGTTAAAGTTGAGTAAAGCCGCGAGACTAGGTGATTTTCATCCAGCCCTCTTCAACTTCGGGGGAAATGCTCTTGTTGATGATGTACACAAATTATTAGTGAAACTGTGAGAGGAGGAAACTGTCCCAACCTACAGGATCCGCTCCGTTATTGTTGCGACCTTCAAAGGAGGCAACGTTCAAAATGCGGTAACCTTAGAGGAATCAGCCTGATTTCCATCGCCTCCAAGTTGCTTGCCTCTGTCATCCTTCACGGACTGACTGGCACTTTTGAAAATCAGATTCGTAGAGCGCAAGCTGGGTTTCGTCTAGGTCGCGGCTGTGTTGGTCGCATCTGCACTTCGCATCAGTTGTTTGAGCACCGTCACCTAAATTGGCGACCCACCGTTGCGGATTCCTCGACATCAAAGTGCCTTCGATTCGGTTGATCGATGTGTCCTTTGGGACTGCCTGCTAAGGAAATGGGTGCCCCAGAAATTTGTAAATATTATCCGAAAGCTTCAAGCGCGTAGCTCGGGCAGAGTGTGCGCTTACGACAAACTGTTGCCGCTCTTCAATATTACCCTCGGTGTAAGATAGGGATGCCCCCTGTCACCATTCTACTTCAACTTAGCTATTGACAAACTCATGAAGGTTGCGTTCACAGGACACGACTTAGAAGGTACGGAGCTGCTCCCAGTTGAACGAGCTCTTCGAGCATGCTGATGATAGTACCCCCATATGTGACAGCTCACAGAGGTGTCAAGCAGTAGTGGACAGATTTGCACTGGCTGTTACCCGTTTCGGCCTATGCTTTGCATATTCAAAGTTGAAGGCTTTCCTCCAAGATTGACAGCAACCGTCTGCTGCACTGACCCTTGGTGTGGAACAGCTAGAAGTCGTCCAAAAATTCAACTACATGGGCAGTTTTATCAGCGCCCGTGAAATCGAGGAGGATGTTACAAACCGTACCGCATAAGTACGAGGAGCTTTTGCTAACCTTCGTCACCTATGGCGCTGGCGCGTAATCACTCTCTGCTTGCAGAGTAGAGTGTAAAATGCAGCTGTATGTTCGACCCTACTGTACGGTTGTGAAATCTGGCCCTTTAGCTCGGGGATACAAAGAGGCTAGTTACGTTCTACCACCAGTGCCTTCGCAGTTTGGCTCATATCTGGTGAGAACACCGCGTTAGCCCTGAGCTTGTTCGAGGTCTTGTTTATGGCACAGGAAGAGGAAGTGAAACTGCTTAGCACGGTTATATCACGCACCAGACTCTGATATATATATATATATATATATATATATATATATATATATATATATAGACGTATATTTACGGAAATGGTGCTGTTTCTAAATAGCTTTGCTTTTCGACACAGTGGACCTCTGTGTGTTATTTGGCGTCATCCGATAGCCGGTTAGTGTCGGGCTCAAATTGATTACATCGCCGTAAACTTCATACAGTGTTATTTCATTCTTGACTACTGCCCATTGATGCCGGTTCTAACTGGGTACGTTAACGATCTCGTTGGATTTTATCGAGAAGTGCAATGAGCGTTTTCTCCTACTGGCAACCGAGTAGTTGCGTCAGTCTACGACTGTGTAAGACCCTTCGAGACGACCTACTTGTTAAGATTTCACCCAATTACTTTGAAGTTAGTGAACTACGATGGAGTTTATTATCTCATCTCATATGTGGCACAGCAGCTGCCGCTTACGGCGCTATTAGACGTCGGCCCATTGGACATGCTCGGGTCTCTTTTGTACTAAGCACGATACCACTAGAGGAGCATTCGGGTGCAATGATAAAAAGGAGCTGGAGAGTGTAAAATGTGATCTGGTGTGCCCAGTAAACGCAGTTAATGCAAGAGTAAGAAGCGGCTGTTCCACTAATTCAACCTACTGATCCGAGCATTTTCCTTTCGAAAGCTTTGTGTGGAGCAGTATGTGAATAACACATATACGAAAAAAAGATTTTTTCAGTTTATCTCGTGAGAAATACGATTTGCTAGTCCCTTCGTGCTCGGGAACCATCATCTGCGCGTGAATCTGTTCACGGCGTGCTTGTCGTCTTTCGCCCTTCGGGCTTTTCTCACGGAAGCTTTTGTGAAAATGGTGTTGAATAACACTGATCAGAAAATTCGACATTGTCATTTCTTTTGTGATTTGGTATCAATCATCTGCAGGCTTCTCGCTGCTTGTTTTGCGGTTAACTGCCAGTTGCTTTCGAGAACCTGAAGTCTTGGCTCTCCGCGCCGCTTCAAACGAATTCGGAGCTTATAACTATTTCATCAGTTCAATACTATTTGGGTTGCTCCTCACCCGCTTACATCTAATCCATCTCGTCTTGACTGCCAAGTTCCGCGAGGCTTAGCACCCGTCTGGAGATTTCGCAATCCCCGAATAACCCGGAATCTTGGTCATACGGACTTTTCGTCCTGCTCGATTTTCCCGCTCACTTGTTGAATTTGCTGTAGAACATTTCCCCACCCATTGGCATCGCTACTGGATCTCGAGGGAACTGTGCTTCATCTCTTGCAGACCCTGTGGATTCTTACGCCTGGTGAGTCCAAATCCGTACGTACGAATCACGTCTGGTAAGATCCGATCGAACCACTCCTTTCTTGCTTAGTGGACTTCTGCAAAGCGGCCTACGTTTTACTTTTACTTTCCCTTAACCTCTTGCCTACTTTTCTTTTGGTAATGACTAAAGTACTCTGTCCTAAGTCGTGATCGAGTATACCACCT